CACCCCTCCCCAGCGTGTCCCTGGTGAACAAGGCAGCGGTGGACTACTTCTTCGTGGAACTGCAGCTCGAGGCGCACTTCGAGGCGCTGCGGCACTTCCTGCTGATGGAGGACGGCGAGTTCGCGCAGTCCCTGAGCGACTTGCTCTTCGAGAAGGTGAGCCTGTGTGGTGGGGCCGGTGGGGCCGTGGCGGCAGCGGCTGCGGGGCGGCCTTGGGACCTGCCTCCTCTCCTGCAGCTGGGCGCCGGGCAGACGCCCGGGGAGCTCCTCAACCCGCTGGTGCTCAACGCGGTGCTGCGCAAGGCGCTGCAGTACAGCTTGCATGGGGACTCCCCACTCGCCGCCAACCTCTCCTTCGCCCTCAAGTTCCTGCCGGAGGCCTTCGTCCCCAACGCTCCGGATGTGCTGAGCTGCCTGGAGCTCAGGTACAAGGTCAGCAGAGCTGGAGGTGTGGCTGGGCTGGGCTGGGCCGGGCCTCCAGGTGTGCTGAGTCGTCGTCCCCCCCCCCGCAGGTTGACTGGCCCCTCAACATCGTCATCACCGAGAGCTGCCTGAGCAGGTACAGCGGCATCTTCTCCTTCCTGCTGCAGCTGAAGCTCATGATGTGGACGCTCAAGGACGTGTGTTTTCACCTCAAGCGCACAGGTGAGGCCTGCCCACGCCCACGCCCACGCCCCTCAGCTTCTGGTGTTGGCCATGCAGCAGCTGCTCATCCCTCTGCGCAGCTCTGGTGAGCCCTGCAGCCGGCTCCGTGCAGTTCCGCCAGCTGCAGCTGTTCAAACACGAGATGCAGCACTTCGTGAAGGTCATCCAGGGCTACATCGCCAACCAGATCCTGCACGTCACCTGGTGTGAGTTCCGGGCCCGGCTGGCCACAGTGGGCGACCTCGAGGAGATCCAGCGCGCCCATGCCGAGTACCTGCACAAGGCCGTCTTCAGGTGAGGCGGGGGCAGAGGGGAGGCGTGGGCACCAGGGTTGCCCTGAGGCCAGGTCACCCACCGGCGGCATCGCCCTTGCTCCCAGGGGCCTGCTGACGGAGAAGGCGGCTCCCGTCATGAACATCATCCACAGCGTCTTCAGCTTGGTCCTCAAGTTCCGCAGCCAGCTCATCTCCCAGCCCTGGGGCCCAGCCGGTGGCCCCCACGGCGCTGAGCACCCCAACTTTGCCCTCATGCAGCAATCCTACAACACCTTCAAGTACTACTCCCACTTCCTTTTCAAAGGTGAGCCATCCCGCCCTGGCAGGTGGGCTGCCTGCAGGCATCGGGGCAGAAGGGCAGGCAGGGCCCCACCCATCCCCTCGCTGCTCCTCCCACCCATCCCCTCGCTGCTCCTGCCATAGTGGTGACCAAGCTGGTGAACCGAGGCTACCAGCCCCACCTGGAGGACTTCCTGCTGCGCATCAACTTCAACAATTACTACCAGGACGCCTGAGCTGCTCGGCCTGGTGCAGGCATGTAAAGGTGCCTCGGGCGGGCCGGGGCAGAATGACCACACAGAGATGGGCCTTGGGAGCTGCTGGTTTATTAGGGGCGGCTCCCAGAAGCAGGAGCCGGCAGCGCCGGTCCTCCCAGGCTGCCATGGGGGTTGGGGCTGCTGTGTCCTCCTGGGTCCGGTCCCTCTGCTGAGCTGTCCTTGCGTGAAGCAGCTTTTTATGGGGAGCGTGCTGCTGGCGGGGCTGGGCTGGGCTGCTGAGTCGGTGTCAGACAGAGACGGGTCAGGTCCTGACTGGACGTCCCTGCCGTCATGGAGAGACGGGGTGTGGGGCTGCTCGCTGGCTGGGCACCGCCTCATGGACTCAGTGTCACTTGGGGCCTTGGGGGCCTCCCGGCCTCCAAGGCGGTTACGAGGATCACGTCACACACAGCTCGGCGGCCCAGAGCGGGGGCTTGCTGCTGTAGGAGCGGCGCCTCTCTGCTGTGCTGCCGGCCCCCTCAGGCTCAGCGGCCTCCAGGACCTCAGCAGCCTCCCCTTCCCTGTGGTACGGGGCCTCCAGCAGCTTCAGCACCCGTCGCACCTGGAGAGGAGCAAGGGGAGGTTATTGGGGACCCCTCCCTCCCTGGCCCAGCCCCTGCTGCGGGACCCAGAGGAAGAGGAGGGACTGGCGGGCCCTTGCCTCTGAGAAGTCTCCGTTCTCGGCAGCCTCGATGGCATTCTGCGCGATGTAGTTCCGCAGGACGTACTTGGGGTTGTTGGCGTGCATGACACGCATGCGCTCAGCCTGCCAGGCGTCCTCGTCAGCGGCACCCTCCCTGTCCTGCTCCAGCCTGGTCCTAGAACCACAAGCCCCCTTGGCAGCAGCTGCAGGTCCCCACCTCCTCCATCGGGTTCCCAGAGCTGGTGCCACACAGTCAGCACTTTGCCGACCCTGCACGTCCAGGCTGGACTCACCTGTACTCCTGCAGCCAGTCAGCCCAGTGGCCCCTGTTCCTGCTCAGCAGCTCGGCCGGGCTCAGCTGCTCCAGCCGCGCCTGCTGCTCTACGCGCTCCAGCTCCTTTGTGACGTTGGCCCGGGTGCCAATGAGCGCGAAGAGCTGCGGGTTTGACTGCGCCAGCATCAGCATCATGGAGAGCTGCCTGGGGTGGGGAGCGGCTCTGAGTGTGTCCAGGAGGCTGCAGCGCCCCGCCCTGGCTGTGGACCATAGCCTGGGACTGCTGCACACCTTGACGCCTGTCCCAGAGGAGGGATGGCCTCACCTGCCCTGCTGCACCCCCTACAGCCTGACGGGGAGCCCAGGCCCCATGGGTGAGGTAGATACGGGCACCTGCCAGCTGGCCACCCTTGTTCAGCAGCCCCTCCTTGTGACGGGCACAGCTGCACCCGAGGAGATGCCACAGACCGACTCAGGCGGACCCTGGGGTGGGCAGGGCACCGTTTGCCCCCACCCAGCACCGACTTCTGGGAGTTCACTGCAGTCAGAGACAGGTCCTGCCGGCCAGTCCACCCTGGGTCCCGAGGCCTCACATTAAATTCCTCTTGACCAGCCTGCAGGCTTGTTCATTAAAATGCACAGCCACGCCTCCGTGTCTGGCCCTGAGTGTGGGCTGCACCCCAGGGACATGTGTGCTCTTCCCAATGGGAGATGGTGCAGAAAGCAGGGCCCAGTGGAAGCCTGAGGGCCACCGAGAGCAGAGACCACCGTCCCCCAGCCCAGGCCCTGGGCCTCCCCATCCAGTGTCAGCATCACTGTCCTTTCCTCTGACCGCCACTCATTCCTGGGAAGGGAGCAGCTGCCCGGGCCCCAGGTGTCCAGCAGCACCAATGTGCAGCCCCTCACACGCTCTGCTCTAACTGTCTCTCCTTTTCTGGAAACAAATTCCAAGGGAGCAGGACCTGAGCACCCACCGGGGGTCCATCTGGGGCCGGAAGGCAAGCCGCAGCTCCTCCAGGGAGGCGCACTGCTCCGTCAGCGCAGTCAGGAACTCGGCCAGGCCGGGAGCCTCGGGCCCCACTGGGAAGGAGCTCAGCAGGTAGAAGGTGTTTGTGAAGTCGGCACCTGGAACACACAGCTGCTCAGGTACAGGGAGGCGGAGGCCAGGCTCTGCTGCCCTCGTGCAGAATTGCCTACGACAGACTGACCCCACTCCATCCTACGGGGGGAGCCGCCTACGACAGACTGACCCCACTCCATCCTACGGGGGGAGCCGCCTACGACAGACTGACCCCACTCCATCCTAGGGGGGGCGCTGGACCTCACTCCATCCTACGGGGGGAGTCGCCTACGACAGACTGACCCCACTCCATCCTACGGGGGGAGCCGCCTACGACAGACTGACCCCACTCCATCCTACGGGGGGAGCCGCACTGCGTTGTCAGGCCCAGCTGTTCCTCAGCCCCTACTCTGGACCTGACAAGTCCTCAAGGTCCCCAGCCCGTTTCTTCATCTGTAAAATGGGTACAAAAGCGAAGGCACTGGGGTCAGCCCCTGGCCTCAGGAGCTACAGTGTCCCCAAGCCCCCGAAACATGCCCATCAGTCCTCAGTCTGACCTGTCAAAACAGTCATCGTAACTCCTAAGAAAACCTCCAGCCCTAGCCGGTTTGGCTCAGTGGATAGAGCATTGGCTTGCAAACTGAAAGGTCCCGGGTTCGATTCTGATCAAGGGCACATGCCTAGGTTGTGGGCTCGATCCCCAGTGGGGGACTTGCACGATCCAGCTGATCCATGACTCTCTCTCATCATGGATGTTTCTATCTCCCTCTCCCTTCCTCTCTGAAATCAATAAAAATAAAAAATAAAAATAAAAAACCTCCAAAACCACAAAAGAAACAAGAAGGGAATGAATTCAGTGTGTTACCAAAGAATCAACAAAACACAAGCAGCAATGGAGAAAATGAGGGCAAATGGTGTCAGACACAGACAACAAATAGCCAACTGGCAGAAGCGCTTCTTTCTCAGGAATCACTTAGAAAGTAAATGAGTTAAACTCCAATCAACAAGCAGGGATTGGCAGGATGGAGTAAAAAAAGTTCCAACTACACCATCTCTGAGACTCACTTTAGAATCAAGTTGCGAGTGAAAGGTTGGGAAATGTGTCCTGTGCAGATAACCCAGAAGCTGGTGGCCCTGACGTCAGACGCAATAGGGTTTGGGAGGAGCTGTATGATGTGCTCGGACGTGGACACGCCTCTCACACAGGACCACACGCACACCGAGTGGGAGCTCCTGATGTGCAAGGCGAACGTCCGCCAAACTGAAGGGAGAAACAACAGTCATGTCCACGTCCAGCAATGGGGGTGGCGTCCAGGTGGATGTTCAAGGACCCAGACCCCACACGCCAGTAAACACACTGGACCACAACACTGCCCGTGGGAGCCACACGCTCCCCAACAGACCACGGTGGCCACCAGACAAGTTCTAATACAGTGAGAAGGGCTGCTGGTATCTCCGCCAGCCACAGTGGAATGAAGCCACAAATCACAAACGGGAGGAAAATGGAAAATTCACAAATAATGTTGAAATCAACATAACCCAAGGGCCCAACAAAGAAATCACAAGGGAAATGATAAAATACTCAGAAAGACACGAGCACACCATGGATGCCAACTTTAAAAGATCTCTCATCACAAAAACAGTTTGTAACTATGTGTTCCCTAGAGTCACCGTGATCATGTTGCGTATACACAAGTATCAAATGGTGGTGTGCACCTGAGTGAACAGGTCATGTGTCAATCACATCAATTAAAAAAGACCTCAAATCTATCACCTGATATCATACCTAACAAACTAGAAAAAGAACAAAGCAAGATCAGTGAGCAGAAGGGAAGGAACTAAAGATTACAGCAGAGATAAATGAAACAAAAACTGAAAAGATCAACAAATCGATAAACTTAACTACATTGACAAAAAGAGAAGATACAAATAACTAAAATCAGAACCCAAAGACTAAGATTACAATGAATAATTACATGCCAATAAATCAGATAACTCTGGTGAAATTGGGCAAGTTCCTAGAAACACACAAATTACAACTGACTCAAGAAGAAACAGAAAATCCATAGTTCTGTAACTAGTAAGGATACATACTGAATTCCTGATCTAACACTTCCCCAAAAAGAAAAGCCCCGGACCTGACCCTTCATTGGTGAGTTCTGTCAACCACCACTCTAGCTGGTGTGGCTCAGTGGACAGAGTGTCAGCCTGCGGACTGAATGGTCCCGGGTTTGATTCCGGTCAGGGCACATGCCCAGGTTGCGGGCTCGATCCCCAGTAGGGGGCGTGCAGGAGGCAGCCGATCAATGATTCTCATCATTGACGTTGCTCTCCCTCTCCCTTCCTCTCTGAAATCAATAAAAATATATTTAAAGAATTATCACCAATCCTCAAACTCTTGTGAAAAACAGGGAACTCTTCCTGATTTACTCTGTGAGGCTGGCACTGCCTCGACACCAAAGCCACAGATACTGCAAGGAAAGAAAGCGACAGGCCAGTGTGCCAGGACACTAGCGAAGTCCATCTATTCGAAGGGCTGGCACCATGACCAGCAGGGTGTGTCCCAGGAGCGCACGGGGCTGCGACCTCCATCCCAGTGTGAGGGTCAGGGGGCTGGTCTTTGGGAGGCAGTGGGGACATGAGGGTGGGGCCCCCCGGGGGGACTCGTGTCCTTGTGAGAAGAGACAAAAGCTCCACCCTCCCTGCTCTGCCCATGAGGACCCAGCGTGGAGGCAGCATCTGTGAGTGAGCAGCGGCCTCACCAATAACCCCCCACGTTGGCACCTCCATCTTGGCCTCCAGCCTCCAGAACGGAGACATGGCTGTGGGCTGAGGCCCGTTTGTGGCAATTCGTTCTAGTTCACACGGACTAAGGATATGAATGAAGGCGTAAAGCCATGTGGTCGTCTCAACTGATGCACATGGTAAAAGCACCCAAACTGGAAACAGGCATGAGGAGGCGCAGTCCCGCCTGCTCTGTGGTGGCGGACAGGAAGCTTCCCTCCCGCCAGCTGGAGCTCTGGGCCAGGCCCTCTGCTAAGTGCAGGACCGAGTGTGGGACAGAGAGGGCTGTTTCCACAGCAGCGAAAGGGCCAGCCAGCCCGCGGCATAGCGGGTGGTGCTGAGCACAGCAGGCCCGTCCGCACAGCGCAGAGGCCTCCGCCTCGGTCAGCACGGGGCCTGCAGGACCCGGTGCTCGCGATGTCAGCCAGACACACGGCTGTGGGCTTCCCCTTCTGTGAGGCCCGCAGGGTCGCGGTCACAGGGTCACGTGGAGTCAGTGTTCACGGGGACAGTTTCAGTGGGAAGATGGACAGTTCTGGACATGGACGGGGGGCTGGCTGCACCACAGTGGGATGTACCCAACGCCCCTAGGGTGCACAGTGAGGACGGTGAAAGGTCAGCTTCACCTCACGTCTATCTCACTGCAGAGCGCGTACCGAGCCCACAGCGGCGTGTGCACCTGCCCACTCACCGGTCAGGTGCATGGTCTCCAGGAGCTTGGCCACCAGCGCCGCGTCCTCCTCCCGCTCAGCCTGCACGAGGCCCAGCTTCCTGCGCATCTTGCTCAGGTAGTGCCTGCGGAACTCGGCGTCATACTCCTCGGCCAGGATGGCCTGGCCCTGCTCGAGGGGCAGCTCGGGCACCAGGGCCTCGGCCAGCTTCTGCAGGTTCCACTTGCACACCTCAGGCTGCTTGCTGAACGAGTAGCGCCCGGCAGTGTCCGAGGCATTGCACACGTGGTCGGGGTCGTACCTGCCACGGGAGAAGGTGCTGCCCGTGTGGCTGCTGCTCCCCCGCCACCCCCAGGAGTCCTGGCCCCATGGGCTCAGCTCAAGGACCCTGCAGAGTCCTCGACTCTCTCCTGCCACCAGCTGACACTCCATCAGCCACCAGCCCTGACGGGTCCACCTCCAGAGCAGGGAAGCAGAGTCCTGCCTGCCTCCTGCTCACCACCTGCCCCTGGCCTTGCCCTTCAGTCCGTTTCAGGACATGCCGGGGGGAGGGGGGGAGCACCCTTTGAAAGTGCTTTTTCTCGGCTCAAAACCCTCCAGGGGACTCCACTGCTGGGAACACCGACCAGCTTGGCCTGCAGGCCCCTCCCCTGCCCAGCAACTCGGGCGCTGTGGGGTGTGCCCACCTGTCCAGGAAGCCAAAGGGCCCGTAGTCGATGGTGAGCCCCACAATGCTCATGTTGTCCGTGTTGAGCACGCCGTGGCAGAAGCCGACACACTGCCACTCAGCCACCATCCGGGCCGTGCGACGTGTCACCTGGGGCAGGACGGGCCTGGTTGCTCCCTCCAGCCCCCTTCCCGCCCGTCTTCCCCTCCCGGGGGCGAGCTGTGCTCCTCTGAGGGGCCCTGGCACAGATCCTGTCATCTCGACCAGCACTCGGCCGTGGGGAGAACCTGAGGAGACTTCAGGAGGGCTCTAGCCCCCACATACACCATCTACTTCTATATACTCACTGGTTTGGACTTTTACCAGAAAAATCATGAAGCCTGGCATCCCTATGACTCAGGCCCAACGGGAAGACCAGGTGGAAACAAGGAAGTTACCACATTGTCAGGCAAAACCCTCCCGGTCCAGGCACCTGTGCTGCCCAGGAAGGAGGCTCAGATGGTCTGTCCGGCCACCAGCCCTGCTGCTCATGCCCCAGGTCCACTGCTCAGCACCCCCTGCCGTCTCGAGGACATGCTGGCCACAGGGAGAGCAGGGGCCCCACAAGATATCCCAACGCCCTGTGTCCAGACCCTGGCCGGCAGGTGCCACCCTCCCCTGAGGCTGACCCCAGGCACTGACTGGGCAGCACCCTCCTCTCAGTTGCACAACGGACGCTCAGAGATGGCCCACGGCAGGTGTGAGCTGAGGGAGGGAGACGGTGCCACAGCAGTCAGCTCGAGTGACCAGCGCAGGACGGGCCCCCAAACACCTGCTTGGCCGGTGCCCACTTCTGGGGGAAAGGGGGCTGACCCAGGGCAGGCAGGCCTGGCACCTCTGGGACCCACCTCACGGAAGAAGGCAGCGTTCCTCTGCACGGAGTCGCTGGCGTGTGTGGCCTGGATTTCAGGGTAGAAAGTGCTGACCACATAGTCCAGCATCTGCACGCGGATGTCGTTCCTCCCCACGCTGGGGCCCGCACGGCCCGTGTGCTCATCTTCAGCCTTAAAGATCTCAAAGGACCCGAACCTGCGGGGAGGCCCGGGTTTCCACAGGTTAACCGTGACCCGTCCCCTGGGAAAAAGGAGAGAGAAGCCTGGCCCCGGACGGCAGCTGACGGCGGACACCTGGGTCCGAACCACCAACCAGTGGTACGAGCACAACAGGCTCACTGGCCACGCTCACAGCTCACACAGCCGGCGTGGCGGGAGGCCCAGGGACGCCCCCAGCTCAACCAGGACAAGGCCCCCTGCACGTCCGCCCACACCCAGGACGTGTCGTCACTGACATCCTGCCGTGGGTGCTCAGGGACCGTGTCCCCTGGGCCGTGAAGGATGCCCGGAGACGTGTGGTTGTCCTGACAGGTGACTGCCGGCAGCTGGTGGCCGAGGCCAGGGATGCTGCCAACACCCTACAGGGCCCAGGCCGGCCCCACAGCTGAGTGATGGGTCACAGTGCCCGTGGTGCCACCGAGGTGTCTCCCAGGGTGAGGCCAACCCCTGTCCTGGCTCCTGCTATCCCCGGAGGGCAAGAGGGCACCCGGGACTGGCCTGGGGACTGCTGAGCCATCATGGGTGCCCGGACACACACATACAGGGTTGGCTCGGCCCCACCGCCACCTCCTGACACACTGCGTTTGATGCCAAGCAGCACAGTGACATCTGGACGGACAAACAGGCTCCTATCAGAGATGGAGCCAGAGAGGAGTCTGCTGAGTGAGCGTGTGAGGGACATGGGCATGCCAGGCCGGTAACAGCCCCTTATTCATCATGACGCTACACGTGGCCACTTTCTTGGAGGATTTCAGGCAGCTCCTGTCAGACTCTGAGGGAGTAGCCGGCTGTCGTGGCCTTTCCCAGACACCTGCTTGGACAGTCCCGCCTCCGCCTGGCCCTGCACCCTCTTGGATGCTGGGGCGCCTGTGGACTCGCCGCCACGGCCTCTGCCACCCCATCCCTTCTGGCGGCAACAAGTGTCGGACAAGGAATCTGGGAGGGCACGACTGTCCACACGCAGGACGGGGCTCCTGACCCAGAAAACGCCTGGTACCTTCTGCCCGTGGGTCAAAGGTCTCCTTCACGGACAGCCGGCTTCCGCTGTCCCAGGGCACAGACGCTCAATGTATCTGAGCTGCACGAGCGTCTCCTCGGCCCGTAACCGAGCGCACGCAGACAGCCCACGGGAGCCGTTACCTGAGGAAGGTGGAGGCTATTCGCAACACGACCGCGCACGGCTCCAGCTTGGGGTTGCCGTCGTAGAACACGTCGCGCACGACCGTGGACTCTGAGGTGACACAGGCGCCGGCCCGCGTGGTGGGGACCCCCAGGTGGAACATGGCCTCGCTGCACAGGAACTCCCGGACGCTGGACCGCAGGACCTTGCGGCCGTCAGCCTGTCTGGAATCAAACACAGAGGTCACTGCGGCGCTGGCGGGGGCACTCCACCCCGAGGCTCAGTGCAGACGCAGGGGCCTGGAACAGAGCCTGCGAACAGCCATTTAGAAACCACCCACAGCCGCTCTGACATCATCATAAATACCGTGACGAGCCCCGTGTTGTCCCCGGTCTGGAGCCAGAGTGAGCGCTTGGCCTGGAGCTGGAGGCGCTGCGAACAGCCATTTAGAAACCACCCACAGCCGCTCTAACATCATCATAAAATATCGTGACGAGCCCCGTTGTCCCCGGTCTGGAGCCGGAGTGAGCGCTTGGCCTGGAGCTGGAGGCAAAGGGCAGTGAAGGCCCGTAGACGCCCCACACGGGACCCAGCCTGCTGTCACGTCTTCTCACACACACACACTCACACGGAACTGCAATTCTACGTTTATTCGTTTTACAAAAACAACAGTACACACACAACAGCGCTATGTGTAGTGGGGCGTGACCTCGATTCCTTGTATGCTTTTGACCTTTCTTTACACTAAGCCTCTTATTATTAATAGACTTCTTTCAGAACAGGTTTAGGTTCACAGCAAAATGGAGTGGAAGGTGCAGAGATTCTCATGCAGCCCCTGCAGCCCCACACGCACCGCCTCCCAGCAACACCCCCACCAGATGGGGCATTTGTGCCGACGGGTGAACCTGTACGGACACGCTGCATCCCCCGCCCAGGGTTTACATCAGCGTCCTCTGTTCTATGGGTTTGGACAAATGTATGATGACATGTACCCACCATGGGTGTCACAGAGCAGTGTCACTGCCCTCACATCCTAGGCCCCACCTCCTCATCCCTCCCCCATCCCCTGATCGTTCTATTGTCTCCAGTTTTGCCTTTTCCAGAGCATCACAGAGTTGGAACCCGACAGAGTAGCCCTTTCAGACTGGCTGCTTGCACTGGTCACATGCACTGGTTTCTCCGTGTCTTTCGCGGCCTCACAGCTCATTTCTTTTTCGTGCTGAATAACACGCCACTGTCCATGGACCACAGTTTCTCTCTCCATCACTCGCGGAAGGACCCCTTGGTTCCTTCCAAGTTTTGGCAACTCGCAACCAAGCTGCCATAAGCATCCACATGTAGGCTTCTTTGTTTTTTATTTCAAGTCCCAACTGCTCACTGCTGGTACATAGTAACTGACTTTTGTGTAGTAACTTTGTATCTTGTAACCTCGCTATATTGCTTATGAGCTCGTTTTTTGGTCAGTTCTTGGAGACAGTTGTGGGAAGGCGCCCTGCTGGGTCAGGCTGCCCAGATCGGACACGCCCCCGCCCGCCCGGAGCAGGGCTGGCCTGCGGGGCTTGGAAGCCTGTGCCGGGGACTGTTCCCAGGAAGGCGGATCCGA